GCCAGAATTCTCAATGGTTTGATGGGTATATAATGAGGTAATTGAGCAGTTCGGAAGTCATATCGCCATTTTGGCTTCTGTTGTAGTTCGCTTCCATTTTCAGTAACACTGATGTTCAAGTAGTGAGCTGGATTTTGAAAGCTAACCATGTTGATAACTGAGGCTGGGTGTATACGTACTTCACTGTAAATACACTTCTCTTTTCTACAGCGTCAATCAACTTGTCTAGTTTTGAACAAACTCATTAACCATTTACCATATTCTCTTTCATGATGACGGCTTACCTTACCTCTTTCAGGCCACACTATGGAGGAATTACCGGAAGCATCAAGTGAAACGTGCCTGGCTAAGTGGACGATATAGCAACATAGACTCTCCCAGTGGCCTGCCAGGGCAAAGCATGTGCCCAATGGATGCAGAGACCTGGGGGGAGATTCTAGAAGTAGAACTGAAACGGAAAAATTATAAGCAACCTGTCAACTTGAGAGTCTAAATCCAACCTTTAAAAGAAAACTAAGAGGTTGGACATTTAAAATCATTTTAATTTTTGCACTCTAGTGGAAACACTTTCTGAATTTGTAATAGATAGAAATCATGAAACCGTATTTTGTAAGAAAGCTGTACTGAAAGTGATTTTAAATGTACTATTTAATGTATTTGTGTTAGTGCATTATGGCACTTTAAATTCAGAGGATTTGGTTGGTATTTTCTGGATAATTCAACAATTCTGAAAGCCATTTGAAGCTGAATTCAAGGTTCATTAAGTAGGAAGCATAACTAGGGAACATTGGGCAAGTAAAACTGGTACCAAGACATTTCAATGAGTACGAGATTTGTATCTCAATCCTTTTAAAGCTTTTCAGTTCAGTGTGATCCAACTGAATTGTCAAATAGGCAATTTTAAAGCAGGTTAAGCCTGTGGTTCAGTTTAAAATTAATCTTAAAAAGCGAATGTTGGTCAAGATTCCAATTCCCATTGTTAGAGACAGGACATACCTGGGCAGGTTCTAGAACACCTAACCAGCAGCAGACCTTGTCGGTGATATTAGTGCCTTTGAGTCAATTCGTACTCAGAGCGACCCAGAATGAAACGCCACCAGGTCTTGCACCATCCTCCTAAAGATTGCTACAGTTGAGGCCATTGTTGCAGTCACTGTCAGTCTGCCTCATCATGGGGTTTCCTCTTTTGCTTGAGCCTTTACTTAAGCGAGCATGATGTTCCTCTCCAGGGAAGGGTCCCTCCTGACTTGCTTAAGTAGAGCATTGTCTTGGCTCTCCTTCCAAGACAAATGTGTTCATTCCTCGGGCAGTTCAGGGTATATCTAATATTGTTCACCAACATTGTAATTCAAATGCATCAGTTCTTCCATGGTCTTTCTGATCTGTTGTCTACCTGTCCCATGCTTCAGAGGAGAATCTAGATTCCATGGCTTGGATCAGGCACATCTTAGTCCTCAAAGGGACACCTTTGCTTTTTAACGTAAGGACTTTCAAGAAGTTGTTCGTAGCAGCATGTTTTTCGCAGCAGCAGTTTGCCGAAGGCAGCATGTAGTTTAATTTGCTGACTAATGCTTCCAGGGTGCTGATCATGGATCCAAGTGCAAGGAAATCCTTGACAACTTCAGATTTTACCTCCTTTATCATGATGTTGCTGACAGGTCCAATTGTGAGGATTTTTGTTTTCTTTATGTTGAGGAGTAATTGATATTGGAAGCTATCTTCTTTTCTCTTCATCAATAAGTACTTCAAGTCCTCCTCACTTCCAACAAGCAAGGTTGTATCATGTGTGCATCACAGTCTGCTTCTAATCCTGATGCCGCATACAGCTTTGAAAGTGTGCTCCACTTAGGTTTGCTCAGCTTACTGGTGGACAAAGTATGGTGCAAACATTTCCTGGTTTTATACTATTCAGTATCTCTTATATATTCAAACGACTGCTTCTTTATCTCTGTACAGACTCCACATAAGCCCAATTAAGTGTTCTGGAATTCCCATTCTTCTCAGTAGTATCCGTCGTTTGTTGTGATCCACACCGTTGGATGCTTTTGCATACTCAATAAAACACAAGTAAGCATCTTTCTAGTATTCTCTGCTTTCAGGCAAGATCCATTGGGTATCAGCATTGACATCCCTGTTCCACACCATCGTCTAAATCCTGCTCAAAATTCTGGCCACTCCATGTCTATGCACTACTTCAACCATCGTTGAATTAATTGTCTTGAGCAATATTTTACTTGTGTGTGATATTAATATTGTTCAACACTTTCTGTGCACTTTGGAATGAGCACAAGTATGGCTTTCTTCTATTGAGTTGCTGTCTTTCAAGTTTCTTGGCATACATGAGTGATCACTCACAGTGTTGCATCAATTTGTTGAACCCTCTCAACTAGTATTCTGTCAATTCCTAGAGCCTTGATTTTAGACAATGCCTTCCGTCCAACTTAGATGTCTTCCTCAACACCATCTGTTCTTAATCAGATGCTACCTCTTGAAATGGTTGAACATTGACCAGTTATTCTTGATGTGACTGTGTATTCCTTATATTTTTTTGATGTTTCCTTATCATTCGTTTCTTTGCTCATAGAATCCTTCAATATTTCAACTCAAGACTTGAATTGTTCCTTTGGTCCTTTATGCCTTCTCTTTTGGTTTTCTCACTCCAGGCCTTTGCCATTTCATGAGAGCATACTGCACTTTGTCTTCTCCAACCACCCTTTGAAATCTTCTCACTCTTTTCTTTTCATTTACTACCTTCAAGGGAAATGTCACAGTCTCTTGGGACATCCATTTTTTACCTTATTCTTATCTTCCAAATGACCTTTTGCTTTCTTTGGGCATAATGTCCTTGATGACATCTCACAACGTGTCTTGTTTTCCACTCCTAGCAGAACTGCCACGTTCTTGGTAAAATGATCTAACCTTAGAGCACCATCTAGTGAGCTGCTTGGAGACGCCAAGACAAAGAACTTTCCGCTCCTCTGTGGTTTTGTTTTTTGTCTTTAAATCATTGTATTGGGGGCTCATACAACTCCTTCTTTGTTTTCTCCACATCTTTAAACACACACACACACAACACAATGAGAACATATTACTTCAGAGAGCCCTTAATAGCTGACTTTGTTGAAACATACAGCCTTCCAGAAAAGTTTCCTATCGCCTTTGTCCTCTCTCTCTATTTCAACAGGTAGTCTTGTAGTAACTGCACTAGGTTGTTGACCCACATCTATGGTCAGCCACACAGTCTGAAGAGTATGTGAAACATTTTCATTAATACGGGATTTTCTTCTGGAAGGGTGATCTGCGGTATATGAAAAACAAGCGTTTCTTCTGGAAGGGTGATCTGCGGTATATGAAAAACAAGCGTTTCTAGTATTTAATGACTACTGAAATATGTGTGGCTGTGCCTTACTATCTTCTTAGAGTGGGAAGAGGCCTTGGAAATCAGGTAGTCCGGCCTCCAGGGTTATCTGGTAGTCCACCTTTATAGGAACACTCACAGGTGGTCCCCCTGCCCCTGCTCAAATACTTCTGGCAATAGGATTTCCGTTCTCTCACAGAATAGCCCTTCTCTCTCCGACTGTTCTCATCAGGAGGAACCTGTCCTCATTTTAGACTGGACACTGCCTCCCTACAGCATTTTCCTCCTACTCCTGGCTCTTCACTCTCTGATTGCCATTCGAGTCTTCAAAATACAAGCACTGGATTGTGGCTAACTTGTCTTTTTGAAGATCTCCTCTCCAATGACTCCTGCCACTCAGAGAACACAACTTCTAGACTCAAGGCATTCTCTCCTGCCAGTCTCTTGACAAAAAAAATGTGACTAGAAAGGAAGGTGTCTAGCACTTTTACCTAAGATATGCACTAATCAATGATAATGAAGAAAGCACTTGAAATGTTCTAAGTATAGTGAAAGCTATAGAATAATGTTTTTTATTGACTAATATCTTTGTACATGTGTACGGCCTTTTCTATCTTTTTTTAACGAATGTGGTTTCTCTTTGTTTTTGTCAACTCCCTTTACTGCCTGTGACCTCTCTCTGGTAGCAGAGGTCACCCACACTAGGGGGCATCCCCAATCTTGCTTCTTCCCTTGGCTGCCTTATGTCACACTGCTTGTCTCTCCCTCACCCTCTGACACTCACGAAGTCAGAGTCACTGCGCGTGACAAACGGTTAAGCATTTGACTGCTAACCCAAAGGTTGGTGGTCTGAACCTACCCACCCAAAGGCAGCTCGGAAGAGAGGCCCGCTGACCTGCTCCTGCAAGGTCCCAGCCCAAAAGCCCCGTGGAGGACAGTTCTTCTCTCTCCCACACAAGGTCCCTGTGAGACAGGACGGACACATGGCAACTGTCTGGTTTGGTTTTTGCCTCCCCCAGCCACAGTGTTTGGCCCGGAGCTAAGCACGTGAAGCAAGCCACTCTCTTCCATAGCTGGAAGAGAGAAACCCTTCCCTGTTGGATGATGAAACTGTTCCCTGCCACGCAGAGAAAGCACATCCCCAGTAAGGCGATAGGATGCCACAAGGAGAGAGGAGCAGAGCTGTAAGGAGAAGCCCGATTGGGTTCTAGCACTGATTGCAGCCACTCCCTAGCTGCTCGCCTGAACAATCATAGAAGCTCATTGCACAGGCTGCTGGCATACCCGCAATGTGATTCCTCTCACCCATCATTCATTCTCGTCCCAGCAAATCCCACCTTTCCGAATTCAGGGGCCCTCTTAAGTCACCCATAGTACTGTATGCATACCAGTACTTTTATTTAATATATATAATAATAGACGCATTCCATGACCAATGCTGTCTCAAGACATTAAATGTTCTCTATCTGTCTGTCTCCCCCTTTAGATTGTGAACTTCTTAATGACATTAAATGTTCTCTATCTGTCTGTCTCCCCCCTTTAGATTGTGAACTTCTTAATGGCAGGGCCATTTGCTATTTATTTTGTTTTCTCTGAAGCTGGCATTCAGCAGGTGCTCTATAAAGCTTCATTAAATTATTTCTAGAGTTATTTATTTCCATTCTCTCCAGAATAGGAAAGAAAAATAATGCACTATATTGTTAACAGACAAGATTATACTGAAATGTAAATGTATAACTCATGATATAAATGAGAGAGTGTTAATGCCAACACACAAATACTTGTTATAGTATTTCTGAAAATGTTCTAGCCAATACAAGTATAATTGGGGGAGTTTTACTTTTATTTTTTTAATAAAAACTTAAAAATCATGGAGGGAGGGGAGGGAGGGAAAAAGGAGTTGATACTAAAGGTTCAATAGAAAGTAAATGTCTAGAAAATAATGATGGCAACACACGTACAAATATGCTTGATACAATTGATGTATGGATGTTATAAGAACTTTAAGAGCCCACAATGATCTTTTAATAAAAATTTTTTAAAAACTTAAAAACCAACAATTCAAGAAGAAGCATTGTTTTTTCTTACAGAGTATTGTATTTACAAGTCCTTTGGATAAAATTCCATTTGATCTTTTCAGTATTGTTACATTAAAATAATTCTTTGTATAGTGAGTTCTAAGTTATGGTGATGGTCTCCACAGAAAGTGAAGTATGGAGCTTAATGATAACATTTATGGTCTGAGCATAGAAGGAGTTGCACATTTATCAGACCAGACCATTAACATCTGAGAACATGAGGGGGTGGGGTACCGTGGGAGGGAAGACCATGCTTGCTTAAAGATAAAATTGCAGTTTGTGAAATAGGCAAGCCATTTGGGAAAGAGTATTAAAGAACGTTAATATTGATTTTGAGCATGAAATGAGCAGCCTGCTTGCTGACTGAATTACTTTATTGTTTATAATAGTGTTAACCATCGATTTTTATTGGAGTTTTTGGACATGTCACCATAGCACCTGCAATTGAAGAGATTTTTATACCCCTTTTCCAATTCTATTGCTTCAATGTCTCCCCTGGACTGAGTACATTGTCCAATGTGCCCAGGATGATGTCTGTGTTAGTCTGGGTTGACTAGAGAAACAAATCCAGGGAGAATAATGTGTGTAAGAGAGAACTTTATCTCAAAGAACAATTGTACATTAAGAAAACATCCCAGCCCAGTCTGCATCAAATCCATAAATCCGATATTAACCCATATCTTGATACTAGTACATAAATTCCTCTTTAGACTCACGCAGCCATGCAATGACGCCAAATGCAGGAAGATTGCAGGCCACTGGGTGGAAAGTCTTGTGGATCCAGTGGTGGTGGAAGCAGTTCAGCACTGGTGTGGTTGTCCACGTGGCTTCTCCAGCTCCAGGGCTCTGGCCCCTTCAGTGTAGCTCCATGTGACTTCTCAACAGAAACGTCTCACAGAGAGATGAAACAGAAAGTGTGTCTCTGGCCTCCAGTGACCTATTAATCTCCTTTGAGCCTGCAAAATGAGATCATTTGCAACCTGATTGACAGGCTAGACTCCACCCCTTAGCAAGTTGACAGGAGATTATGTAATGACCATAATGTCAAACAGGAATGAAAGGAGCAGGGGCATCTTTGCCTTGTTCTTTACTTTAATTTAAATGCTTCCAGGGTTGCTCCTCTGTCGTACTCTCCCCCTCTTTGTTCCCACACATATGCATACATGCATAAATGTGTGTGTTTGCACACATGCATAATCCTGTTGGGGAAATTTTTGTTAGTTGAATCTAATGCTGTAACTAAGATGTATATCCAATTTTATAAAGGGGCTTTTATTTAAGACACATTTCTTACCTGAGAATTTTTTAAAAGATTACAAGTACTAGGCCTGTACATTACATACCCAAAAGCTCCTTGGGTTGATACATGGTTCTTCAACACGCTTATTGACTCAGATCCAAAGAAACCCAATATTGAGTATCTTACTTTACAACCTCAGCTTTCTTCCTCAAAACTATTGGATTGTAACAATATCCTCCACCGGCTAAGTAAGTACCTTCTGTGTGACTTTACCCCCATCAAACAATCCTGAATGGTCGTTTTCAACATTCGCATATTAAAGATGTGGAAATTGAGGGTCA